TTAGAATAATCATTCATATTATAATGTAATAATATTTTTTATTTTATGATAATTTTTTTGTAAAATTAGAATTATACATTGGAATAAATATTTAATTTAGATATACATTTAAAAGTAATTAAATTTAGATAATCAATATATAGAAGAGATAGTATTTTTATTAAAATATCTCATCCTTATAAAAGATCAAAAGTTTAGAAACTCAAATTACAAGTAGCAATAAAAATATATTTTAAAAGTACAATTAGATTGACATTGTCAATGTATTTTAAAACTAATTTTTCCGACGTCTAATAATTAAGGATTACTTTCTCAGCTTTTTATTTAACCTATTTCTAAAGTTTATTCTTTTTCATTTTTAAGAACAACAACAATAATAATAATAATGATGATGATGATGATGACGATGATGATGATGATGATCATAATAATAATAATAATAATAATAATAATAATAATAATAATATAATAATAATAATAATAATATAATAATAATAATAATAATTCTTGATGATATCTTATTTTAATAAGTCTTGATCTGATCTGATATGATTGGATCTGATCTGATCTGATTGGATCTGATCTGATCTGATTGGATCTGATCTGATCTGATTGGATCTGATCTGATTGGATCTGATCTGATTGGATCTGATCTGATTCGATCTGATCTAATTCGTTCTGATCTGATTCGATCTGATCTGATCTGGTCTGATCTGATCTGATCTGATTTTAATAAGAATAAGAAAAAATAAGTTGAACGGAACGGGGCCTTACTCCCTATTTTATTTTAAATTTTATTTATATACAAAGTAAAATTTAAAAAAATTAGAAATCATATACTCCATGCGTCCTTAATTTTATTACGAATTGGGAGTTAGAAGGTCAAATCTCTTATCTTTTGAAATCAATTTGTTTACAAATTTGTATATCAATAAGAAATATAAATTACATATTAAAAAATTACGTCAAAAGTTCTACAAAATAAGATGTGACAAGAATATTTTATTTTATCAAATACTCAATAAAAACACTCAAATAAACAAAAATTATTAAAACAAAAGTTATTGGGAGGAGAGAGAAAAAAATTGTAATTTTTTAATGTTATTGACTCTATTACAAGGTAGTATTAGTTCATATTATTCTCAAACTAATTGATGGTGTAAATTATCGACCGGTATATCGTTTTAGCCCGGCAAAAACGATAAACTAGTCTAAAAATACACCAAACTATAAACACGAGGATTTTGACGTGGAAACCCAAATCGGGAGAAAACCACGGGCCTTTTTTGGCGGTACCTTGCCAACGGGGGATTTTTATTAATATTGGGGGTGTGTACACGGTACATGATTTAGGCTTAGAAGCCATTAATGGTGGAGCTAGAAGCTCTTGAAGAAGAAGAAAAATATGCTATCTAGAGAGAGAAATAGTAAATGACAGGGGAGAATGTGATTTTTTGCCCCCCTTAACATTGAGGGGGTGCCCTCCTTTTATAGGAGTAGCTGGAGCATCTACAGAGAAATGTTCTCTTATTTCTCCATTTTATTAAACAGGCCTGGTTTGACCGTTCTTCATAAATAATTGGGAAATGTAGGCCGAGTCACGTATTATTTCCCATCAAGAAGTCCTTCACTTTTTTAAGTTGTGAGAATCATCAACTTAAAAAAGTAAATAAGTCCTCCGAGTGCTATCTTCAGTCTTCATACTTTGGATTCTTGATCGGTTGATTTTATTGCTAGTCCTCCGAGTCTTCATTAATTCTTTAATTTCTTGAATCAGAAGTTTTTCCTGCAAAAACTAATATGTACAACAACATTTTTTTTTTGACCGGCCTATGCCGTGCTCAAAAAATTATTATCTTTACCGAGGAGCTCGGTGTTAGGGTGGTTAAAATTCGCGTGAATAATTATGGTCACAAGAGCGATGTCAGTTCGATAAAGCAACGATGCTTCAAGTAGTTATACGACACCGGAGTTAGTACGATGAAGCGGCGGTGCTTCAAGTAATTATTTCGTCGAGACCGATGTTAGTACGGATTAAGTAAAAGACACACAGCGAAATTAGTATATCGAAGTAATCGATGTTACTTAATACGAATTAAGTATGTTGCAGCAACTTTGTCGAAGATCGATGCTAGCCCGGCTAATTGATGCAAATATCTTCATGTCATGTAGAGACCACTTCCGGAATGCATTGTTCAAAGGGCCTGAAGAATCGGGCGTCCCCGATAAGGGCTCAGCTGAGCCACCGGTGTACCCAATTCGATTGGGGTCAGACTTACGAGAAAATATGTGCAAGACCGGTGTGTATATCATTCTTGGCCTGTCTCGCGCACAAGAATGATATTTACCAGCGTGCCAGGCCGGGCCTGTGTCACATATTTTAATATTTTTTATTATACTGAGCAAGACCGGTGTAGTAACCAGCGTGCCAGGCCGGGCCTGTGTCTCAGTCTTCCTCTTTTTTTTAATACTGAGCAAGACCGGTGTTGTAACCAGCGTACCAAGCTCGGCTTGTGTCTCAGTCTTCCTTCCTTTCTTTGCAAAGTATTGAGCAAGACCGGTGTAGTAACCAGTGTGCTAGACCCGAGTGCCTTCCGTCTACAATTGGCCCAAGAACCGCAGCAACTTTTTCAAATGTGAGGAGCATTGTTTTTTTTTGAAATGGCAGTAATGCCCTGGGTACCGTATCTTCATCTCAATCACTTGGATTTTATTTTGAATCCCTTGAAATATATCATGGGTGGGCCACCTGCCCACCTCTCACATGGGATGCCCCACTCCTTTTCATGATTCATGGCTCCAAGTGCATGTATTGGCAGGAAATGTCCTCCAATCTTCACTTTATTTCACCTCCCACTTTATCAAAAAGGGTGAAGAATTTACCACATGCAACTCTCTCCCTTGTCTCGTTCTTTTGGATGTGAGATTGAATGAGCTGGAGTTCAATTATCCAAGGGAGGCAACAACTGTAGACATTAGCGCCAGAGATGGAATTTTACAGCGGCGATGGGGGGTGGATCTCGACAACTTAGCAGTGGTGACGGTAGGTTGAGGTTTGACCAAGGCGGACATCACTAGCGGCGACGTCAGATTTTATTAGAACATTTCCTCTAATGGTGGATGGCGTGCTTGAAGTGTGAATTCGAGCTGAGAGAATTGAGAAGAAGGTGCTTCCATGGTGGTGCTGCCACTGAGGTTCCGCCCATCTCTGAACACTTTTCGTGCGCTTTGTCCCCTTGCTCTTGCCCCTTGGTGGAAAAATTTAGCTAACTTTTTCTTTATGGCAGCGGTGGTCTTCTCCTGCGAGGTCATCAATTTGGGCATTGATGGCGTCGTCGTCACTAGTTTTTCTCCAACAACGATGGAGGCAAAATCTGGCGGCAATGGATTCAAAGTCAAATCTGCGAGTCTGAGCCACGAAGGCGGCAGACTACACGCTGTACCTAGGGCGGCGGACACGGAGGCCAGAGATGGCAATGACTGAAAGGACAGTGGAGTGACACGGAGGCCAAAGATGGCAACACGCTGTACCTTGACGCCGCCTTCGCCTCCTCCTCCGTGTAGGGGTTATGGTCGTCCGACTTGTTGTTGAAGTACTTGTTGATGTCGGAGGAGACAGAGTCAGATCCGCTGCGCAATTCCTCACCAGCCCAACAAACATCTTCCTCTCGCTAGGAAAGATGGTGTCAGCGCCGGCTGCTGGCTTCAACGGCGAGCCAGCGAATTTGAAGGAAACCCCTCAATTGTGACGACAAGTTCTTCCTCTCGCCAGGAATGATGGTGGTGGGGATGAAGCAAAGATCGAGTTCATCGGTGGTGACGACGATTTTGGTGATCTTGTGATGGCTGGCCCAATTTGTGGAGGCCCGTAATCTAACAAGGTCGTGTACTTGCCAGCGGCTCCTCTTTGTCCTTTTGGATTTCCGAAAAAAAGATTGATATATAAGATCTCTCTTCTTTTTTTTGAGCAACACCTCCCTCTCCTCTTATCCTCTGGTAAACAAGATGAAGAAACTAAACAATGGACTTTTCGCTCAGGTCCCACGGATGGCGCCAAAATGATGGTGTAAATTATCGACCGGTATATCGTTTTAGCCCGGCAAAAACGATAAACTAGTCTAAAAATACACCAAACTATAAACACGAGGATTTTGACGTGGAAACCCAAATCGGGAGAAAACCACGGGCCTTTTTTGGCGGTACCTTGCCAACGGGGGATTTTTGTTAATATTGGGGGTGTGTACACGGTACATGATTTAGGCTTAGAAGCCATTAATGGTGGAGCTAGAAGCTCTTGAAGAAGAAGAAAAATATGCTATCTAGAGAGAGAAATAGTAAATGACAGGGGAGAATGTGATTTTTTGCCCCCCTTAACATTGAGGGGGTGCCCTCCTTTTATAGGAGTAGCTGGAGCATCTACAGAGAAATGTTCTCTTATTTCTCCATTTTATTAAACAGGCCTGGTTTGACCGTTCTTCATAAATAATTGGGAAATGTGGGCCGAGCCACGTATTATTTCCCATCAAGACTAATGACGCACAAAAAGTTAATGATTCCGCTTCCGCTTGGGCTCGAATCTAGGTAAACTTCCTCGTGAATCCTAGGGAGTGGGCTTGCTACCACTCAAATCACGACAAACGTTCCAAAAAAATTATAATCTAATTAAGGACAGAGTATAATTTTTTTACAAAATAACAATACTATACGGAGTTTTATGTTATCGAGTAGTGAAATTAAACAAAAAATGATCATTAAACTTTGACAACAATAATAGGTTTAAATACTCCCTCTGTCCCTCATAGATCTTCTCAATAGCCCTTTTTCTTTGTCCACAATAGATCTTCTCATTTCATTTTTTAACAATTAAAATGCCACAACTATCCCCACTTACTTTATTAAGGGTATTATGGTAAACATTCACTTTTTTTTCAACTCTCCTTAAAAACCACCAAAAGTCAAAATGAGAACATCTTAGGGAGACGGAGGGAGTATGTTTTAGTCCTGTAAAATAAGTAACTTTTGATTTTGGCCGTATTTAAAAAATGTGTTAAATTGATCTTTAAAAAAAATTATTTTGAAAATGGTCTTTAAATGTAATTAGCACTTCTATTTTATTGACATAACACTATTCTATTGAAGATGCATCTCCAATTTCCAAATGGTGTTGCTGACATTCGTGCAATTAGGGATATGTATGCAGGAGCAAGGGCTAGGGTGAAGACTATCGTGGTGACTCTATTCCCTCCCCTGTAGCGGTGGGATTACACCAGGGGTCTACTCTTAGTCATTTCCTCTTTGCTTTGGTGATGGAGTTTCTGTCACAAGATGTTCAAGGAGAAGTTCTGTGGTGCATGTTTTTAGAGATCATATTGTTTTTATCGACGAGACATGAGAGGGATTCAATTATAAGTTGGAGTTGTGGTGTCAACCCCTAGAGTCCAAAGGCTTCAGACTGAGCAGGACTAAGACTGACTACTTGGAGTGTGGTTTTAGCGGTAGGATGTAAGAATCTGAAGAGAAAGTTAGGATTGATACTCGCCCAGTTCAAAAGAGAGACATGTTTCATTATCTTGGATCGAAAAGTGTTGTTCCTTTCCTGATTGGTTTGCAAATAAAGTTCTCTGTGATACTAAAAATTCTGAGAAAATTCACTGGTTAGTAGCCGACCCGAAGTTACAAGTTTGGTGTTACACAGGATACGACACTAATGGGGTTTCATTCTACACAAAGTCAGAGGATGAGAAGAGTACTGTACAAAATAGTGGTGTGTGTCTGAGTAGTTGGGCAATGCACTTTAGTAGTTCAAAGGATAAAAATCTAATTTGGGCTGAAGCAACATATATAATATGGTGTGATTGAAGAAATTTGGGAGATTGATTATATAATGCTAAAGGTTCTAGCTATTTTATGTCGTTGGGTTGATAGTCAACATGGAAAGAGAACAGATGAATTAGGATTTACATTAAATTGGTTGATTTACACAGGGAAGGGCATAAAGAAGAGCGTTTTATAATGGCAACACAAGAAAAACAAGTTTTATATGTTACAGATCTTTATGATAAAAAATGGTCCATTGTTTTTCCTGGTAAAAGACATATATATTATTAGTGATGATAGTGATAATACCAATTATGCAATTGATGAGATTCCACCATTCACTTCAAGATTTTTGGTGACTGGTTAAGAAAGTGAGGTAGACGGAATGTGTGTTGCACGAGATGACCATTGCGAAGGAATTTGGGAACAATAATGACAATTTTGTTCCTCTATTTTATTTGTGAGATTTATATATCTATTATATCTTTTTAATATGTAATATAATATCAAATGTTAATTGTTAAATATAAGGTATCAAAGGTGTTAATATGCTAATAAATGTTTTTGGTGTCTATGTAGGTACTATCCAATGGAATCCCAACAAGATGAAGACACAAGTCATCCCAACTCTCCTACTACTCAACTAAAAGGCAAGAATAACGTTAGGAAAAGGGGCCCTACTTACATGATCTCATTTCAACAAAAGATTGATATCGGTCGTTTGCCACCTCCTATTATACGTTTTGATGAATATGGACGGCCAACTGGTGAAGAGGTGTCTACTTTTGAGAGTTTTTTGGGGATGCTAGCAAAGACAAGAGTAGAGATCACTTTAAGAAATTGGAAAGATTATGCAGAACCAAGAAGGGAAGCTTATGGCAACATATATTGGTATTTATATTTACTCTTTACGAAATTCATATATTATTTTAGTATTATTAACGTATAAACCAATAAATATATATTCCCTATTACTTTTCAAAAAAAGTTCATTGTTATTGATCTAAAAAAACAAAGCAAGGGAAACAACCTTAAAGGATATATCAAATAAAGCTCGAAATTATAGAGCAGATCTCGTTAGGGTATACCTAAATCCTTTGAGTGAAAAATATAGGAAGTTTCCTGGTGATGATTATAAGGAGATAACGTTGCAGATGTGAGATGAATGTTGGAATATAAATAACTGTTCCTGGGCCACAACCACAAGCTTGAGCTTTTGGTTGAATTGGTTCCTTGACATAGTATCGGAGCCTCGTTGACTAAGAGGTCACGGGTTCGAAACTCAGCGCCACCCAGTTTAAAAAAAATTAAGATTTCACGTGCAAGGCTCGAAAAAGATTACGCCTACACGTGAGGGGGCGTGTTGGAATATAAATAACTGTTCCTGGGCCACAACCACAAGCTTGAGCTTTTGGTTGAATTGGTTCCTTGACAATGAATTTCTTTTTCTACATCAAACAAAAGAGTTTCAGGTTTGAAAATTAAAATTATTGCTTACCCATATGTTATTAATAATTACTTTACAAGAAGTGTGTGTTTGTTTCAATATAAGAGTTTTTTATTTCTTTTTCATTTCTTACTTACAAAAAATTTGTATAGGCATTGAGGGGGGGAATAAACATAATGCGTCAAAACACAAGCACCCACAACCTGCAGGACGTGGAGGGTATAGATTGGTCAAAAAAGAAATTTAAAAAAGAGAAGTTAGCACAGATGCAGTTAGGCCTAAATGATCCTGAATGTGCAATCAGCACCTTGATTGGATATAACCTTCTCGGTTATATTGATTGTACCCTTCCGGCACCGCTACTCTACACTGATTCCGCTCGCACCATGGCCAATCCTTGCCATTTCACCTAGTTTCGACAGGATCAGGTGATTATTAGCGCCCTCCTTGGTAGCTGTACCAACACAATACAGCCACTTATATCCATGGTTGAGACCTCTGCGGCCACATGGAAAAATTTCACGACAAGCTTTGCAAGTGCCTCACGCGGTCGTGTGGTTTCCCTCAAGTCCAAGCTTTCGAAAAAACCACGTGGCACTCGATCTATTCAGGAATTCCTCAACGATATGCAGTCCATTGCGAATGATCTTGCCTTGGCCCAACATCCTGTTCCTGAAATGGACCTTACTGTTCATGTGCTAAATCAGATGGGTGAAGAATATGACTCGATTGTGTCTGTTGCACGTGTTCTTGAATCCCCTCTTCCGTTCACTGAACTTGGCGATATTCTCAAAGAGCATGAAACCAAGCTTAAGGCTGCCGAAGAATCAACGCAGTCCCTAGTAGCCACAGCGCATGCGACCGAGCGTTCATCTTCTGCATCACATGGCAAGCAACAATTTACATATAGACGTCGCATGGGCTCTCGGGATGGCAATTCGCGACGTGGACGTGATCAGTCTCATGGTGACCTAGCTTCTACATCTGTTTGCCGTTATTGTCAAATCCCAGGGCATACGGTGCAAGTGTGCCGCAAGCTGGCCAAGTTTTTACGAGAGAATGGGTTGTCCACTATTTCCGCACCTTCGGTCAACACTGCCACGGGGGGATTTCAGCATCTAAATGCGTGGATGTTCGACAGTCATCACACAAGTTCCAGTCTAGCTCCGCTTCAAGCTTTCTCTGACTATGGGGGTCCTGATGAGGTCGATCTGTATGGGTGATGGTAAGGGTTTACAAATTATGCATGTTGGTCATACGACTATTCCCACTCCCACCCATAATTTATGTTTGTCTAACGTTCTCAGTGTTCCACAGTTACGTCAAAATCTTGTGTTAGTTTCACAAGTGTGTCGTACTAACAATGTTTCGGTTGAATTCTATTCTGATACTTTTTTTGTGAAGGATCTGAAAATGGGGTGCTTCTGCTTCGCGGCCGGAACGTTGATGGTACCTACTATGCGACTCCGTCTAAATCTCCTTCCGTTCATGTCTCCGCATCTACTTCTTTGGCTACGTGGCATCATCGCCTTGGTCATCCGTCCAATAAAGTGCTACGGGATATGTTGGCTACACTACATGTTCCTGTGTCCTCCACTCAATTTGTTGATTTTTATTGTAATGTTTGTTGTATTCATAAGAGTCACAAGTTACCATTCTTCAATAATTCTCTACTCAGTACCTCTCATTTACAATTGTTATACAGTGATGTATGGAGTTGGAAAAATTCTTCCCTTCATGGTTATTCTTCCTATGTCATTTTCGTAGACCACTATACCAAGTATGTTTGGTTGTACCCCCTCAAGCATAAATCAGATGTGCTTCATGTGTTTTCTCAATTCAAAACTTTGGTTGAGAAATATTTTAACACCTTTATTCGATCAATTTATTCTGATAATGGTGGGGAGTTCGTTAAACTAATACCGTTAATATCCAAGTCTGGTATATCTCACCTTACAACTCCTCCTCATACTCTAGAGCACAATGGTATAGTTGAGAGGCGCCACCGACATATTTTTGAAACGGACCTCTTGCTCTTGGAGTCTGCTGGACTTCTCGCACTCTTCTGGCCAGTAGCATTTCAAACTGCGGTCTATCTCATTAATCGACTCCCCACTCCCATTCTTAAGGGGTCTTCACCATACATGGTCCTTTTTCGTCAGTCACCAAACTATACTAAACTCAAGTCGTTTGGATTTCTCTATTATCCATGGTTACGACCCTACAACACCACTAAAATTCAACCAAAGAGTACTCCGTGTGTTCTTCTCGGTTACTCTACTTATCAGTCCGCATATTGGTGTCTTGACTCTAAAACAAATCGTGTCTACCTCTCTTGTCACGTCACATTTGTTGAGCATGTCCACCTTTATTCCTCGCTTTGTCTGCCTACTTTTCCCATATCAACCTCTCTGGCTCGCCCACCAAACCCAGGGGTTGCTCCAAAATCTCTCTCGTCTCCACCAGTCCCTACGATGACATCGGCCGTTGATTCCAGTTTATTATCCTTTTCTGCTGTCAGCAGTGTATCCTCCTCTCCTGTAGCCACACAGCCCATACAGTCTATTCCTCCCATTGCCACAAACCCCCTTGCTGAGGTCCAACCCATTCTAGTACCATCACGTCTCTCTCGTATTCGGCGTTCTAATCTCAATTTTTTGGGCCTAAATATGTGGTTTCCACTGTTACTACTGATCCTTCCTTTCAATAATCCAGCTCTACGTTCCCTCTACCACTTCCCCTTAAACCACGTACCATCACTCATGCCTTGAAGGATCCTCGTTGGAGACAGGCCATGGACGTTGAGCACGCTGCTTTGGTGAAAAATGGAACTTGGACTCTCGTTCCTCGGTCAGGCCAGACTCATATTGGGTGTAAATGGATCTTTCGGGTTAATAAAAAACCGGATGGGTCTGTGGACCTGTTTAAAGCTCGTCTCGTCGTCAAAGGCTATCTTCAGCAGCCGGGTCATGACTACTCTGAGACATTTAGTCCGGTCATGAAACCTGTTACAATTCGTGCTGTGTTAACAGTGGCACTAAGTAGGAGTTGGCATATACGCCAATTGGATGTGAACAATGCTTTTCTTCATGGCACGTTATCTAAGGAGGTGTTCATGGAGCAACCTCCTGGCTATGTTAACCCTACATTTCCCTCTCATGTGTGTAGGTTACAAAAGGCAATAGATGGGCTCAACCTTTTTTTAGGATGAACAGTAAAGAAAACGTGGAATCATTTTATGGGACGGAGAGAGTATAACTTATTACTCTATTCGTCCCAATTTAAGTTACATGTTCACTATTCACACAATCAAACTTTAACGACTTCTATTACCCATTTTTAGTATTAATTTTATAAAATAATATAGTCATGTCACCTCTTATTTCATAGAACTTTAGATGTAGTTTTTTAAATATATAATCTTATCAAGTTCCACACCAACTTTCATATAAACGAATTAAAAATAATTTGAGTCAAACATCATAAAAGAATAGGGAAAATTTAACTTGAGACGAAGAGAATAAAAATTATATTTAAATTTAAAAAAAGTGAATGGTGGGTGAAGTAACATCATGATAAATGTATTTTGAGGGATCATTTTGTTAACATTGAGAGTATTATTAAACCTTATTACTCCGTATATAGATTTAAAAGTCATTATTAGCCCACATGACACTTTTTTTAATATAGAAAAATCAATGCCCCTTTTAAAAAATCCAAAAAATATGGTAAGGTAAGAATATCAAGAGAGCAACCCCTTTTCCAATTTCTCGCATCTAAAATAGAACCCCTTTTCCAACTTAACACTATGTTTGGTTCAAGAAATTCGGAAAGAAAAGAAAAAAACAATTTTCTCTCATTTTTCTCACCAAAATGGGAAGAATTTGGTTTTTCTTCCACTTAATACATTTTATCTTCTCATTTCCTTTTCCGTCCACTATTCCTCTTTAGCCAAACAAGAAAAATACTTTCCATTCATTCTCATTTCTTTTCCCTTTCAAATTCCTTAAACCTAACATAGTGTTAATATTTATAGAGATCAAGAAATTGTTTAAGAGTCAAAAGTTGTCTCCAAATATCAGGATGGCATGCAAACATGCCACATTGACACATTGTCATGGCAGATCAATCTCTTTTGTTGCCTTGATTAAAAATAAACAATACATGAAACCAGGATCAAAATTCTTCATGAATACGTGTACACATGTTCTAAAACTCCGCCACTCGGCCAGGCACTAGCATTGTGAGCTAAATATCACTAGCATCTTTGCAGTGGTAAGTACGAATAAATGGCAATGGTGAAATTGTATGTCAAGCATAATACTCCTTGAGAGGGATAAATAGAGGGTAAAGAAAGGTATAACAACATTACAACGGAATTTGACTATTTTACATAGACCCAAACAGAAACTGGTGTAGCTGAAACAAAGCAGGTAAAAACACAAGACAAAGGGTCACGCTATGAATTTTCAACCATCTAATGCAGCTACGGTGAGAGATGACTCCCAAACAAGAACCAAATAAATGCAAACTACAGCCACATGATTATGAAAAGTTTCTACGCGAACAAAAATCCTGAATTAAAATATTATGAAAGCTGGAGGCCTCTCTCACACTTCGCTGCTGCGCATTTCCTCAGCTCCGTGTGCAAAGTGACACCGGTCACCAAAAGTGCATGATCCTTTCATGAAGTTGTCACAAAGTTTTGTCTTAAAGTTGTTTGCGGGGGCAGATCGTGGTCCTTTAATGGATTTCGCAGCGTGGGAAGTGACTGAAGCAATAAGCTCACGAACCATTTCACTGGCTAGTTGAATCTGGTCAATGGTACCCTCAAGTTCAATGTTCTTGAGATTAGGGTCAACTTCATGTTCCTTTATTGAGAGCTTGGCTCCCGTTTCACGGCATATCCGCTTTGAATTAACCCCGCCCTTCCCAATGATAGCTCCAGACAGTGACCCATCAATACTGATTTTGGCTGTGGCAGATGATCCGAAGCTGGCAGCTGCTCCGAATCCTGCTTGACTTGGCTCGGGTCTACCAAACCTGTTTCTGTGTCCCATCCCAGCACGAGGGTCCTCATGGTGAGAATGAACAGCTGCTGGTCTGCCAAGCTCCCACTCTCCATGTGCAAAGTGGCATTTGTCACCAAATTTGCAACCCTCGGCAGTGTTGTATTTGGTGCACAAACGCGTCTTGACCGCTGTTGCAGACTGTGTTGTGTCTGGGAAAGGTGGGGGCATAGGCATGGGGTTTCTAGTGGCCACAGGGAGAGCAGGGTTGTTGCCAAGCATTTGGGTCACAGCTTTGAGCCCACCGGGTACATAATGCAGAAAGTGGCAACTCTCTCCAAATTGGCATCCCGTTGTGCTGCATATATTAAAAAAAACTTGTGTCAATTTGTGATTTGTAAAATAGGATTGGGGAAAAACCTGAGCCACATTCATGCCTTCCTGCAAATCATAGTGGCAAAAACCAAACTCAACTTTGACAAACAATTTTATTATTGGATTGTGATTGAACAGTTGAGCACTGCTCAGAAGTGCAAAAAAATGCCACAAGACCTATGAAACATGGCCATTACTTGCAAAGACACATGCTAACATCACAAATAACTCACCATCTCAATCTCACACAAGTAAAAAAAACCATAAAATGAATGACAGATTTTTTGTGAACACTACGTTTGGTTCAAGGAATTGGAAAGGGAAAAGAAAATCTATTTTTCTTGTTTGGTTAGAAAAGAAAAGAAAAGTGAAAGGTTAAGAGAATGAGAGAAGAAAATAAACTAATCGGTGAGAAAAAGGAGAAATATTTCTTTTCATTTCCTGGTATAGAACTCAACACAGTAGGTTACCCTAAATTGATTTATTAATGTTGGTCTGCCCAATGGAACTGAGTCTCACACTTTAACAGACCAATTAAATCAAATGGCACTATGAGTAATTTTATACCTCAAGGTCACCATCATCACAAATATCCTACCACAAATTCACTAGGATGAGAGAGTGAGAGCCATTCTTTTTTCACTTTCTATCTAAAATGGGTAAAAGTAGAAGAGGTACAATGAAGAGTATACAGGAAAGAGACAGGATGAAACTGTGTAGGATATGAAGCTCTCATGCGGGTAACAACAAGCAGGTGAAACTCTCTCCAACTGCAATATTGTAGCTTTGCCAATGTGAAGGGATAGAAGATTTGGTAAATATTTGGCCTAATCTCAACAATTCTAGAAGGGTTTTTGTAAAGGGTAACATGGCCCACCTTATATTATGCCTAAAACATGCGATAACAGAAATAGCACGCTAGAGTTAGTTCTACGTAAATTGTGATACAGCAGTGATTCACCAACTCATACACATCACAGTTGCTTCTTTTGATCCAAATTGATTGTGTATCCTATATTTGGTGTTATACCAACTCCCATGATTTTGAGGGCAATTAAACATCACAGGCATATTTTCAGGAATCTTAATCAAACTTATCCATATACAGCTACACCTCACAACTTTCCCCCACAGAATACGGTGCACCGTGGTCACCATAGCATCATTCAACATTAAAACTAACAGTTCTATTAAAACCTTGATATTTCTCAAATTTGGCTTCACCTTAAATCACACATTAGTATACCTGTGCTAGGGATGTTTGCTCTGCATGAAATAACACTCCTTTTCACCCACTTTATGCGTAGTATGATATGAATAATCTAACACCAAGATCAATCAATTCCAAGCAGCTTTGTATCCGTCCAAAATCCAAATCTTACTTGTAACTAATCATATTTCACTACCTAGTCGAATGCAGATGAGCGAAATGGTATGATACCCAACATTAACCAAAAACAAATAAAATGTGTTACTTCTCTCTCTTTATTTGACCTATAAAATCAAGTTGTATAATCCAAAAGTGACTTGCATATCCAGTTTTAACTGGAACACAACTCACTGATAAAATAAAAAAACTCAAGATGAATTTCTTAATGGCAGCACGAAGAGTCAATATTCTTGGAAGAGAATCACAATCTTCTACAGCTTTTAACCGGAATGCACTATGGTAAAAAGAAACAGGGTACGGACCGTAAGATTGGTTAGAAATTTCTGCATCGTCATTACAGCACTTCAATCAGAAGCTTAAAAAATTGAAGAGTTAAAAAAAATATAAAATGTGATGGGTTATACCAAAGGAAACAACCGGAAACAGTCATCCACGAGCAAAACCCATATAATATACTTGACTAGCGTGCCTATAGACTGTCCAACTTGAGAACACCCTTTACAGTTAAGTTTTCATGCATCATCACTCCACCACTTCAGTCAGAAGCTTATAAATGACAAGCTAAAAGAAAGCTAAAAATGTGAGTTTATACCGAAGGAAACAATCAGCAATACTTGTCCACAAGCAAAGCCCGTATAATATACTTGACAAGTATGTCTATAGACTGTCCAACGTAACCTTTACAGTTAAGGATGTGATCATTCACATACTCTCCATGATCATTTGAATGCCAACTATTTCCTGTTTGTACTTCTCCTAAATGGGCATAAACAAAAATATCAAAAGGTAGTACCTGAATCAATCTCTCAGTAAACTGTGGCACGTACACCCTTCAATATGCCCAAAACAGTCCCAAAAAAATCCTCTATTACACTTCAAATCCTGTAATGTGGGGGGAAAGTCCAAGCTCAATACCAATGCCATATACTTAGTAATATATAGACATTGATATATAAGGGGAAACGTCTGCAGCTTATGCCAACCAAATGTAAGAAATAAATCCAAGAAACATTACGCAATCTCATTTCAGTATCCAGTTGCCTTCTGTTCTATGCTCCCTTTAATTGGTTTCAAAATAAAATTCCCTTTTCAACAGCTACACATACTTGACTCGTCGAGTTATAACTCACTCTGTTTCATCCCGAGCTTTATGTCAAATTTCATACTTCAATTTGGATTCCATTTGTTCAACGACTTACTTCACCAAATACTTCAACATTATTTGGGTTCATCAATAGTTGTTCTATATTAAATCTCTTCAACAACCATAATTTAGGCTGAGTGTTACCCATCGAGTTCTAAAACATGTTCATTTCATCCATTTTAAGTACTGCTCCTTTTAAATGAAGCTAGCTTGAGATAAAGCATTAACAAATCCAAGAACTTGATTCTTCATCCATATCAATGCCTTTCATAACTTGCCAGAAAATGCATTGATTTTGTGTCATGTATCTTCACAATTG